AAAAAAAAAAAAAAAAAAAAAAAAAAAAAAAAAAACAATTAGTAAAGAACTGTTTAAACTGCCCAACTCCTAGGCCATCAGGAAATGGGGTATTTGAAAAAGTGAATTTAGGTCAATTTTGTGAATTCATCTTTTACAAGTCAAATAACCAAGAATAAGAAAACACATGATAATAAAGGTTTGTCTTGTGACTGAAGAGATGGCTCAGTAGTCAAGAGTGTTGCCTTAAAATAGGGGTAGAAGTCGTTCCCAGACCCAGGACAGGTTATTTCACAGTGCCTGTAACTCCAAGTCCAGGTGGTCTAATACCTTTTTCTTCCTTTTTTAATGATTAATTTATTTTTATTTTATGTGCGTTGGAGCATGTTGTGGGAACTCTTTCAGCCACTCCTTTGGGCGTGGTCTCATGTACTATAAGTGCAGGTGAAAAGCGTGTGTGCCCCCCCCCTTTTTTGCTGCTGGATTTGGTTCCAGTTCCCAGTGCATGCAGAGGAGTGTGGATCACTACTCTTACTGTGAGTTTATCTCCAAATAAATAAACCTTTGTTATACTCCCTTCTGGGCTACTGTGGAATTCTTTCATACAACTACAGGTGCATTGCCAGCATGCATGTTTGAGTGAGGGTACCAAGTCCTCTGGAACTGGATTTACAGAGAGTTGCAAGCATCCGTGTGGGTGCTGGGAATTGAACCCAGGTCCTCTGAAAAAGCAGCCAGTGCTTTAACTGCTGAGCCATCTCTCCGGAGAGCTGTGATCTGATACCTTCTTTGGGCCTCCATTGGCACCAACCCTTTCATGCTGACACGCACAAAGACACAAATAAAACAAAACTATGTGTTTCTGTAATAATCAAGGTCTTCTTTTTCCTACTTCCATTTTCTCCTCCTTAATATGTTCTCACATGTGAGTTACAGAGTATTGCTGTTTCAGTAATTCCTGTGTGTGCAGGTAGATGCAAGCAAATGAGTCAAAGGAGAAAGAAGAAGAAAAAAAAAACTCTGTGAGAACAAATTAAAAGAAACAATCACAAACTGTAAGACCATATGTGAGACCAAAACAAGAGCAATATACCTTTCAGGTTTAAGCTTCTGTCTGGAGTTAATACTGTTAAAATAAGCTCCTGTTTGTTCTGTGTTATGTTCTTGAATGTTGAGGTTTGTATCTGTAATTTAGAATAAGCCTCTGCTTCTTAGATCTTATGTAAACTGCAAAATACCCTTTTAACCTACACTAAACTTGCGACCCCATTCTCATGATGTATATCCTTACCCTTGTTCCTTCAATTTCATTGTAATTCTCTCATCCTTATGAATACTTTATCTCCTCTTAAAAAGGGATCTCAAGGGGCCAGGAAGGGCTATTCTACCAGATGTAGAGTTGGTGAAAATCTTTTCCCATTCTGTAGATTTCCCTTTTGTCCATTTGACAGTGTTCTGTTTTTGAAATTGTAACCTGTGCTGATGAGTTCAAGGCTATCTCCCATTTCTTTTTGTTATCAGGTTCAGTGTGTCAAGTTTAATGTCCACTCGACATTGAGTTTTGTGCCGGGTTGTAGATATGGATCTATTTGCATTCTTCTATATGCTGACATCCTGTTAGGTCAGCACCACTTTGTTGAAGATGCTGTTTATTTTTCCATTGTGTATTTCTGGAACCTTTATAAAAAAAATCAAGGGTTCATAAGTGTGTGGGTTTATATATTGGTCTTTGATTTGATTACATTGATCAAAGTGTCTGGTTTTATGCCAATACCATGTGGGTTTTATTACTATAGTCATGTAGTGCAGTTTGAATGGTGATACCTCTGGAAGTTCTTTTATTTTTCAGGATTATTTTAGTTATCCTTGTTTTTTTGTTTTTCCATATGAAATTGAGCATTGTCTTTTCAATGTCTGCAAAGAACTGTGTTGAAATTTTGATAAGGATTGTGTTGAATCTGAAAATTGAGTTTGGTAGGATGGCCATTTTTTACTATTTTAATTCTAACAATCCTTGATCATGGGAGATCTTTCTGTCTTCTTGTCTTTTTCTCGATTCTTTCTTCAAAAACTTGTGTTTGTGTGTGTGAAGATACAAGTCTTTCATGTGTTTGGT